ACAAAATAGCTCTTACAAATTATACCTTTGCCTTGAGCTTTTTGTTTTTCTCTTTCTTCTTTCCAAGTCGAAGCACTTGATCATCACCATGCCATCATCTTTATCATGCTATGATCTTCATTTGCTTCACCACTTGGAGTGTGCTACCTATCTCACGATCACTTGATAAACTAGGTTAGCACTTAGGGTTTCATCAATTCATCAAAACCAAACTAGAGCTTTCAGCCCTGCTCGCCGCTGCCCTGCTTGCCTAGCTCGCCGCCACGCGGCTCCCTATCTCACGCGCTGTTGTCGGATGCAGAACGAAAGAGAGGGAGGCACGGGGCCATGTCGGAGCCGCCGGATCTGAGAGTTGAGAGAAGGAGGGGAAGGGAGATTGGCTGCCGTCGGATGCTAGGACGGAGGAGAGGGAGATAGGGCCGTGTCGGTGCCGCCGGATCGGAGAGTTGAGAGGATGGGAAGAGAGATTGGTCGACTCCCGAGTTGAGAGAAGGAAGGGGAAGACTGAAGAGAGATTGGTCGTCCAGGAGTCGACGAAGGGGTGAGGGGGCGACGGGATGGTGGCAGGGGGGCTGAAGCCTTAATGAGGTGGCTTATGTACATAGGGTTTTATTATGGGCTATTGGGCTGTATATTTGTTGGTGGGCTTCTTTGTGTATCTCAGTCAATTCGGGTATTTCGGTTAACCGAGGGTCAGAACCGAATTAGGGATCGAATTTTTCGGTTCCGATTATTTCGGTTTCGGTTTGGTTTTCGGTTCTCGGTTAATTTTGCCCAGGGTTAATATCACATACTACAACATAACCCATCGTAGAGTGTAGATCCTGTTGCGCATGGTTGTGAAGGAGCCCGGCCACCATGGAGGAGCTTGTCGCTAGCGAGGCCACACCTCCAGTGTTTAGTTCGTCATCGAGAGACACCCAACCATAGAGGATTTCATAGCCGAGAAACACCTCACCATAAAGGTACCCACTTAGATCCACTTTGCCGCCATGGAGGCAAGGTAGGAAGGCGAGCGGGTGCAGCGGCGAGGGAAGAACAAGGATGGGTGAAGGCGGGCGGTGCCATGAGGCAGGAAAGCAGGCAGTGAGGGAGTGAGATGGTCATCGTCGTCGGGGAGACAAGCAGCCGCATCGGGGCGACGAGCAGCTACGTCATAGACAGGGAGACGATAAACCGCATGAGGGAGATAAGCAGCGGCGTCGGAGAGAAAGGTGAAGATTGTTGGGCCATTGGCAGGCTGTATAGATTGTGGTCTAGTTAAAAAACGTCTGACACGAAGGAAACGGGCTGGACGCCCGTGTAGGAGCATTTTCAAAAAAATATTGTTATTCGAACGGTTCTGAGAGTTCAGTGGGTAATATGTCTAGTTTTAAAGATCGAGAAGCAAAATCAGAATACAACGGTAATTCAATGAGCTAGAATTGAATTTTTTTGATTCGTGAAAGCTGGGAGCAGATTTGTTCTCTTTAGTATAAAAAAAGGGCGTACCTAATGCAGAGAGCTCCCGCTCTGTGCGGGGTCTGGGGAAGGGTATCAGTGGCAAGCCTTACCATCGCCTGTGCAATGCGAGGAGACCACGACTCAAACCCGGAACCTTCCGGTCACAGACGGTAAGACTCTACCGCTTGCACCAGGCCCGCCCTTCATTTGTTCTCTTTAGTATAGTAAAAAAAAATTAACTAGATGTGGACGAGCTACCACAGATTAACTGGAGCTGGAGGCACGCGAACTCCAGGGCTTGTTTGGCTGGCTTTAAGCCGGCCGGCTGGCTTGTTTTTTCTCTCACGAAATCACTGTTCATGTCCTGCCAGAACAATATTTTTCTCTCACAACAATCAGGCAGAACAGTATTTTCCAGTCCTGCCGAACAGGCCCCCAGTTTCTGGCACCCCAACCACTCATTACTCACTGGAGCGCGAGCGACAGAGCGTGCACGGGAAATGAGGCATTTCAGCATCACCTTCTGCACTAAGGAAGAACCTTGCCCCTAATATAGCATCAATCACCTTTCTCATAGTAAACCTTATTAATGCCATATACACTAGTAAGGAAGAACCTTGCCCTTAATATAGCATCACTTTCTCATAGTAAACCTTATTAATGTCATATATCACTTTCTCATAGTAGGGCCAGTTTGGTGGAGATCCAGATTTTCTGAAAAACGTTTTAGTTTCGGATTCTCAAGAAACGTTTCAAATGATGAATCGGAATCACTTTATAAAACCGATCGGCACGTAGGCTGGATTCCGATTCCAAAAGAAAAAAAATCATGAAAAAATTATATAAAAAAAAACTCGATCCACGGTGGCTAGACAGTCCAATATGCTTGAAAAAATCAGAACTTTTTGTAGATGAAAAGTAACTTAAATACAATCTATTTTAATTTGTTGTACTAAAAAAAGGATAGCAAGAAAAAAAATGCGGTTGTAAGTGTATGAGAGAGGCAAGAAACGGAATCTAGAGAAACTAGTCCGGAGGCGTTTCACTCGTCCGGGCAAAAAATCGTGGAATCGGGAGAAACGTTTCAGGCAGAAACATTTTTGCGGATATGGCGTTCGGTGTAGTTTCTGCCGATTCTGCTGAGAATCGGGACGGATTAACGGTGCCTAAACCTTTTTACTACCATACACAGTATATACACTAGTCTTGGCACCTTGTTCACATCGCATAGCATCGGTGCAGGTAACTCGTTTCTTTGTCCACCATGCTAACGTTGCGTAGTATCAATGCTGAAACTTTTGTCCACAATGCTCATTACATCGCGTAGCATCGATGCTAGTAACTCGTTTCTCTGTCCTATGGCTCCTCCTCAGCACAATTGGATGTCGATGCTATGCGCGGCCGCGACACCGTGGCAACCACAGTTAGTACCATCGCCACATTGCAATCTATACAAGTCAAAAAGCAACTGCATTTCTGTGGTCACCAACTTACCATTCATAAAAATAGTTTCAGAGAACACCCTGAAACGTCATAAGCTACACGCGTCACAGCAACCTTACAAACTGGCAGACACAAAACAGCATTACAAATTTCAAACAATCCTCCTCCATTCAAATTATTGCAGTTCATCGTCGAAAGCATGTCGAGGAATCCTCAAATACATAGATACCTTACGAATCACAAGAACAGTTTCAACTAAGCATTTAGTCTGAAGATTTTGATGCGACACAAGAACGAGTGCCGTGCGAGCTACAAACCAACTAGGATAGAGTTGCTGATACTGATTCCTAAGTGGAACCTACAAAATATCAGTCCAGAGCAGTGGCCTGCACCGGATACAAGTAATGGGGAGTTCTGAAGACGTGCACGGTGGACATGCTAGAGATGACACGGGCGAACATGCGAGCACAGTAGAGCAGGCCGTCATGAACAGCGCTACAGTATGCCGCAGAATCGTCATGGGAGCCTGTAATTGGTAACCGAGCCAAGATGTTAGGAACAAATCTCTTCTTCGATAAGTCAAGGATTAGAATCACCCCAACTAGTGTGCAGAACTAAATAAAATATTAGGATCACGTTGCAGTGTTAAGTCAAGAGCATGGCGGCATTTTTACCATTTTGTTCAAAGTATCTGATGACATAAAGTCAGCCACACACACACAAGTCAACAATTACCTTAGATAAAATAATGTATCTAGAAAAGTCGGGAGTACTTCTAACCTGTTAGCTTTCATAACAAAGATGGAAGTCATCTGTCTAAAATGGCTTCCCGAGAATTAAAATTTCATCATTTGCTTAGCTACAAGAAATCATTGGCTTGAAATTTTTGGGAAAATCCAGACAAATTTTAGGTACTACTTCATCACAAAGGCTTTATCTGCAACTCGGCATTGTGCAATAAAATACAATTTCTTATAGCAACTCCAATAGGTTAAGGTTTAAGAATAGCACTACAAAAAAAAAAGGTTTAAGAATAGCATATAAGGAACACTCGTCCTTTCATAAGTAATGGCCTAATCGGGGAACTGTTGCACCTAGACAGCTATACTTCCAGTAGGAAGATATCATGGAAAGTCATCATATAATCCAGTTAGCTCTACAGTTTGCACATTTAGGTTAACACCAAACAGGCTGCTCCAGACAAGACCATTTAATTGGATAATTGTGTCATCCCTATACCTTACATAAACTTGCTGACATAATAACCCAGTAACTAAAATCATCACACAAAAATAACTGTATAAATAGAGAAACATCAAATCACAGACGGGGAAGCAGACGTGTGGACTATATTAAAATAAGAGGGTCACAAAGATTACCAGAAAGAGCTCCGTGTATCAATTTAAGATAGGTAGCGTGGATCGTTTCCTGGCTTTCCCATCTTATGCACATCCTCCGGTGAAAGTATCTTGATGTACCATACACTATTCACAAATGACCTGCATTGAGTGAACAAGCTCAGTTTCATGCGATCTACAACTGGCATGCATAATGATGCACATACTAAGATTTTAATGTTACATCCATCACTTTACATAAACAAGAAACATCAAATCCATATCACAAGTAAATTTATTTTGTATTTACACTAAGACGAACCAACTCATCCACATGACAGAGATGACCCCCTGAACCCAGTTACCAGACCGAGACACTGATAGCCGTTGGCTAGAATGGCTTCCTGAGTATTGAAGTATCATAAATCAAGGGCTATAAATTCATCATTTTTGTAACCTGAATGCACATAATAGATGTATGGCAGAATCAAGCACATGTAGATCTGTTTGAGATCATGAGGAGCCATTGAACAATTTGAAAATAACATGTAGGTCCATTCAAATGCAAGTCACTATAGATATTGACGAGGAGGCTAATGGGCAGTTGAGTAAGAAACTGCCTATGCAAATGAAGCAAAAAATTTCAACTTACTATGAAAGCAAAAGCAGAAACTATGCTGTGTGATTTTTTCTAATACGTTGTAAAGATTGACAAAATTCAAATGTGTATACTACTGAGAAATCACAAATTGAAACTAGAATTCTAGTGATGGTTTCTTACTCCCACGGGTCGTCTCCAAGGAGAAGCACATCGTTCTCCCTGTCGACAAATACAAGCTGCCAGCCTGATCTATCAGGGTCGTCCAACTGACCCTTAATGCCGAACATCTGACCCAGTTCCTCTCGAAGTTCAGCATAATTAGAGAACCGGGTGATGTCCAAGGATCTCCCCACTGATCCTGACTTGTAAACCTGAATTTAATAAAATGGTTACATGAGGTGGGGCTTACATTTGTTTTTAGTAGACTCAATTACACTCACCTTAACGAAAGTTCTAGTTGCCGGATCATTCTCTCCTGTATTTTGCAATAAACCAGAAGAGTCATCCAGACAACCATACATTGGACTCTGCAGATATGTTGATCCAGAGGGAATCGCTGATATATTATTAACAGCAACATTTGAGGTCAGATTAGGTACCATATTGTACAGTAGGGAGGAAGAGTCAACTTGAGGGCTAAAAAGGGACTGGTTCTGCACATCACGACCAATTTTGTTGTCAGCAGAACCATCTTTGCTAGTGGGTGAGTTAAGCGAAACCGAGCCCCCAAAAGACATCGATTGTGAGCCCATAAACTTCTGCTTCCATGCCTGTTGCTGCTGCTGCTGCTCGCTAACTACTGGTTGGTTGAATCTAGACAAATCCACAGATTTTGAACTTCCCTGAAGGAAGTTTGATTCCAGCATGTTTTCGTTGCTGCTAGAGCTGATGAAGCTGGAAGAGTTCACATTAGGATCAGAAAAGCCAAATTTTTCACGCAAATGGCTTGGTAATGATGTTGGACTCGGGAGAACCGCACTGCTAGGAACTTGATACGGTTGATCTGGTTGAATCTTCTGCTTCTGGTCATTATGAGCGTGCTGCATCTGCTGGAGTTGGTGGAGCTGCTGCTGAATAGCACTTGGGCTGAGCACGGACTGAATATTTTGAGCATCAGGACTAACCATCTGCTGTTGGCTCGCTTGCTGTAGTATTTGTTGCTGCAACAGCGGATTGAGATTGCACTGCTCCTGTGGGGACTGCATAGGCTGTTGAAGGTGTAGGAATTGCTGCTTCAGATAACCACCTGACTGGGAGGCAGCTGCGGCAGCAACCACTGCTTGATACTGATCATGGTCATTGCTAAGTAAGGATGGATGGAGCCTCTGTTGTCCCCAGGAACCTATACCAGGTGACTGGAAGTTCAAAGACTGAAAGCCCCCTTCACCAGCAACTCCTCTCAGCCACATCAAAGCATTGCTGTCATCTTAAGTGTAATATGACAATCAATAAAGACATAATAATGAGAATGAAAGGCAATGACAATAATGAAACAAGTTGTCTAACACATAAATGAAAAGTTTCAGCAAATAAATGAAATAGCATGTTCTATCATGGTGCCTCAATGCTGCCAATTTGGCATAAATGCTTAGAAGATATCCATATTTCAGTTGTAGCACAGCTTTACTTCTAGTTTCCATGGAAGCAAGATGGAAAATAAGAAAACCCCAGTCACTGAACTGCTAGGTTACTTCGGCTAAGGTCAATAACTCATCATTATGTCAAGTTTCCTGGACCAATTGTTGGATCTAAAAGCATCTATGTAACTTCTTTCCTAGTAGCTGATACGAACAGGCTTCTACCCTAAAAGACTATTGCTCTCACTGTCTGCTCTCCAGTGTAATCTGGCAGTGCTACGAATACCTAATTTGTAGCACTAACAGCAATAATACAGGAAAATAGCCCCAACAGCAGAGATGCTGGACTCAATGTGATAGTAACAAGCATGAGCATTTGAAGCGTACCATGAAGAGCAGCAACTCCTGAATACCAAGGATGCTTAACTCGCAGTGGGAACAGGGATGGATACATAGGAAAGGTTGTCAGTGGCTCAATTTCCCACAGAGAAACTCTAGGCGGCCTTTCTCCTGCTGTTGATTCATCCCAACCAACCTGTGTTGATAATATCAGTGGCATAGTGGTTAGGGAGTACTTTGCGGTAACAAAATTATTCAGTCTGATGGAATGGCGGGCGTAACCAAATATGTAAGATGGTTATTATAACTTTATGAGCTTATGACATAAAGGAGAACATTACCTTCACTGATCTCCAATAGGAACTAGGCCAACGCACTGGGTCAGCATCACTCACTTCTGTTATTGTCCCCATGTACCTGCAATTATTTAATACCTTATTTATGAGTTTCTTTCGTAATTCTTGAGCATAAAATTGCAAGTCTCATGGACATATATTCTTTTGCCAAGAATCAGAAGGAAATTTTGGTACTGCTGCCTCACCTACGGACACTAGATTCCTCAGTCTCAAACAACATCCTGAATCGCATCCCAACTGATATCCGCGTGTGAAAAACAGCCTTGATGTATTTCGAAAGGGGTATAACAAATTCTGACGGACTTGCCCTGCAAGCACATTTTTCAAATCAAGCGGAACATAGGAAACATATAATTGTCATTTGCTAATCAAACAGTTCAAATTACCTAGGATTATAGAAAATTGTGAAGCGGCTGTTTGTTGCAGCAGCATGAGCTGCTGCTGCAAGGAGACCAATGTGCATGCTGTCACTTGAAAGAACAGAAGAGGGCATCACAGTCTGTGGACGGCTGGCGTGTCTGATTCCAAGCAAAAGCTGGTTTTTCTCATTCCTAAATTAGTGGGGAAAGGGTAAGTCCTACTCAACAGAAATTTTTTAGTGGTGCAGCATTGAAACAATGGAACAAACCATATGAATAGCACAGAATCTCCAGCAACAAGTCTCTTAGCACTGACAAACACACTCCAGCCAGTAGTCAGCAGGTGTCTTTTGGGCTGGCCTGTGAAAAGAAGCCTATTTAGTGAAAAGATAGCAACATTGATGTTAAATCATTCAATCTGTCAGCAACAACTGAAGAGCTGGCAGCCCCATTTCACAATCAGTATAGCAGATGGGTCCTCATTCATGAATGCCACTGACGCTTGTAATCAAACTTTAGCATTTACTGGGATACTAAGTATGTTCTGGACTGATAAATCAACCGCAAACAAACGAAAATACTGTAGAAGGTTAGGCCTTTTAAGACATATAAGAAAAGAACCAAGGTGTGGTACACTTGTACTATACTGAGAAGTAATGCACGTCAGTACATCCAGAGGCCCATGTGCAATTTTGGAGCACCTAACTCCTGCAGATTCAGAAACATCTGAGGAAATTATCCTGTCGATTGAAACTTGGCAACTTAAACTTAATCCAGTACTGCACTATCCTAGCATATTAAAACTGTAAAGGTTTCGATGTACTATCCAAATTAATGTCTTCGTTTTTGTAGTGTGTATGCCCTTGATTGTAATAAATAGTCGCATGGAGTGGTATTTTTCACTTAAACTGCAAGGAAATAGTCACACTAGGTAATATAATATCTTGAGAGTATGTTTTAATCAATCGAAAAGTAAAATGGCTAACAACTGATAACACATCAAATCAAGATTTTAAAGAAATAAAAAAGAAAAACAGAAGTTGAGAGAGTGACGTTTATGAATTTTGTCGAACTTGCCTCGGAAGATATGCCTGAACTTCCACTCGACATCATGAATATCCCGTGCAATAAGCTCCTGTGCTGGAGGCTGCTGTGTGAAATCCTACAAACCACACTATACCACCTGTTATTTGCAACAGCAAACAAAACAATCCATGCAGGCGAACAAAAGGAACACCACCCAAAATACACACTCATCACACCAGAGGGGGGAAGACGCGCTCGGCAGCACGACGGGGCACCGAGAAGCCGCCATGCGTGCTGGTGTCGCTCGCAGTCAGCGTCTTGCAGAAGTAATTCGTCGGCTGCTTGCTCATGATTCCCATCTCCGCAGGCAGGTACGCGTCGTTCTGCTCTTGCTGCACAGACGAACACAGCCGACACACAGCATAATTAAGAACTCAACAAAACCGATAGACATCAGAGCACAGCACAGCGACGGAGAACCATCAAACCCCCCGGTGCCTTACTGGGTTGAGCGGCTGCAGCGTCATCTGCGCGTACACTTCGTCCGTCTCCACATCCGCCTGCACGTATATTAGAGCTCAGCTTAGCGCCCGCATGAGGTAGAGGAACGGAGCTGACGACGAATCGCCGCATCTAAGGAATTTTTGAGGGAGAAAATCGCGCACATGCATTGTGACATCATGGAGCTGGCAGATCAGCTGCGGCGGCAGGTTGGGGTAGTTGGGGATGTGCCCGTCCACCTCCTTGTTCGTCGACGCTGCCACCTTCACACGCGTCCACACGCATTAGCTTAGGCAGAAACGCAAGCGAGAGCGATCAAAGCAACCGCACCCGACCAGGCGAGGCAAAGCAAACAACACCTCGCATGCTAAGGCAACTCCCAGCGTATGCGTATGCGTATGCGTATGCAGGTGGTAGGGCTGGTAGTCCATCACCAGCAGCAGCGAGGCCGAGCGAGTGAGACGGCACGAGGAGTTCCACTCACCTGCTCGCTGTGGCCCTGCGGGAAGTAGACGACGCGCGTGCCGACGGTGGGGAGGCAGACGAGCGGGCCGGCGCACGCGTGCCACAGCTCCGAGTTGAGGCACTTCTTCTCTGCACATCACACAGAGCGTGCCAACGTAAAGCAAAACCGAATCGATTCCGAAACCAACAGCACAGGACAGGAAGCGAAACCTAGCCAGGCAGCCAGGCACCGACGCGACGCACCTTCCTCCAGCGGCGGCGGCGCGGGCGGCGGCGGCGGCGGCTGCCCGATGCTGGCCGCGGACGAGGAGCTCATCTCCCACGACCGGCCGGGCCGGGGGCACACCGAAACCAAACCTCTACAGCCTCCTCGCAAATCCTCCCGAACCCGCATCCATCGCGCCCTCCATCTTCCTCAAATCGGCCGCATTCTGCACCGAGCCGAACCGACGCTCATTCACCAGAGGCAGGCAACGGTACTAGGTACGGGCCGGGACGGGACGCCTACCTCGTCAGCTCACCCGAGCTCGGAGATCGCCATGGTGCGTGTGGGGAGAGAGAGAGAGAGGTGGGGTGGGGCTGGGAAGAGGGGGCACGGAGAGAGAGATGGGAGGAGGGAGGGAGGGAGGGGTGGGGGGACTGGTAGGAGGAGGAGGGGTGGGAATGATTAGGTCTGGGGCATTTAAGCGAGCGGGCGAGGGGCGAAGAAGCGTCAGCGTGCGCCCGTGTGCGTCCGGCGAGACTGCGAGTTCGTCGCCACAGTGCCGCGCGGAGTGGACTGGCTGGCTGGAGACTCTGCCCGCCGTAGCAGCAATAATAAAAAAGAAAGCTGGAAAGCGAGCCGTGGGAGTAGCATTAAAAAAGCCGTATTTTATGGGCTCATGTAAGCGGCTGTCGGGGGCGCAAGCGACCCGACCCGGTCCGGTCCACTGAAGTCAGGGTAGCCACGGACGGACCACGGGCAGCCGGCCGTGATGGAGCAGGAGCCACGGAGGGAGAGGAGACGCACCACCACCTCCACCACGGCACCACCAGCAGTCCAATCCTCCGGATGGATGGATTGACTGGTCACTGGGACCGTGTGGGCCAACTCTGTTGCCGCCAGTGGCACTGGTAGTGGCAGCGGCAGCGCCCGGCGCCATCCCGAACCATAGGTTTGCCCTCTGCCTCGGGCTGGCTCCTGCGACGTGTTTGTCCAGTTTTGCCCTCTAGATTCTGCCCCAAGGTTCAGAACCCGTCGGGGTTTAGCGTTTCGAGACAACGTAATTTAGTGCCTGTTTAGTTTTCAAAATTTTACAAAATTTTTTAAGATTCCTCGTCACATCAAATCTTTGGACACATGCATAAAGCGTTAAATATAAATAAAAAATAAAACTAATTACACAGTTTAGATGAAATTCACGAGACGAATCTTTTAAGCCTAATTAGACTATGATTGACACTAATTGTCAAATAACAACAAAAGTACTACAGTACTACTTTCCAAAAAATTTCGCCAAGGTGCTGTTTAGTTGCACTTTATTTTACAAAAAATTTCAAGATTCCCCGTCACATCGAATCTTTGAACGCATACATGAAACATTAAATATAAATAAAAAATAAAACTAATTATACAGTTTAGACGAAATTCACGAGACGAATCTTTTAAGCCTAATTAGACTATGATTAAACACTAATTGTCAAATAACAACGAAAATGCTACAGTATCATTTCGTCAAAAATTTTGCCAACTAAACACAGCCTAACTAAACAAGGCCTTATTCGCGTGGGTTTCAGGGGGCAATTAGCTGCTGCTTTGCTCTTTTTTTTCTTTCATGTGGAAAACTGTGCGCGGAATAGATTCTCAGCCTGTTCAACTATTACTTATCAGTCAGCCAATAATATTTTTCTCTCACGATAAACCAATACTAACCTGGCTTATCAGTAAAAAAAAAACCAACCAGCGAACAGCCGTCTGCCCACGAGCGCGCGCGAGCGAGCGAGCGATCCTCCTCTGTTGGTGCTGCCGTTATGTGCGCACACTTTACGTGTAGGGACTACAGTAGGGTATATGCTTGGTTGTGCGGAGACCGATGGAGCAGGATCTCGTGAGGCTTTCTTGGCACACTATCATCTGCGTGGTTTTGTTTGCCTTGCCTCGTCCCTGAAGCGGCAAAGCGCCCACCGTGTTTCCCGAGCACTCCGCAGGGCACAAATATCTCGTAGCCGAGCCCCGGTAGCTTTTCGATCTGTGATCGATCGATCCGGCCTACGCCTACCCGACCTTTTCAGAGCTTGTTCGGCTGGTATACTACCGGATTGTTTCAGTTTGTTTTAGCTTATTTTCTCTCACATAACACTATTAAAACATCCAGAACCATCCAAAATCTACTATTTAATGCACAGCTGGGTTATCAGCCGTTCCGGAAACAACGACGTGGATGTACTCCTAAACCCTAACTAGGGGGGCAGCTAGTACCACTGCTGCTCTCGGACTCTCAGTTCAGTGTCAATGGCATGTTTGCTGCTGCCGTGCTGCAACGACACCCAGGTAATCGCGTTGCTTTTAGCGGCGCGCCGTGCGTCTCGGTTTGGCCGCGCACTCACTCACCTTGCCGCTTTGGATCGAGCACCCGGGCACACGTATCTACGCGTACAGGGTCGCGTTGCGTGGGCGGTGACGTTGGTGGTGCGTGGTGACCAACAACTAGAAGCTATAAGCACGTTCTATAAGCACGTGGTACTGTAGCTGATAATGGCAGAGAAACTCTTCTTTCAGAGCAATTTCTCGAGTTTGCTTTTTCCAGAAAAACTCGATTTCTTGGGGCATACCGCAATTTTAGAGCGGCTCTATTTTTAAATCACATGGTCTAAAGTATAGCCAACTACTAAACTTTAGACCACTTGTATGATCTAATGAACTAATGATGTTTATGAAGCTCACTAAATTTTAGATACTACTTTAGAACACCCGTTTGAAGTCTTATCAATAGCTACAGTTTAGTGGCTAATAAACTTTAAACCATCGGATCCAAACAAAGTCTTATATTGGCCTGCTTTAGTAAGGATCCAACGCGGCACTGGCATCTCGCGAGTCTTTGCAAGGAGCTCCCGTTTGGCTTGGCTTCGAGGGGCTACGACTCCTTCATGCAGCCATTGTACAACATTGTGGATTACTATGGCAAGCAAAAAACGGCTCCAACTCTGGCACAAAACAACATGAAAGGAGGAGGAGGAGTCCGAGCCACAACTTGTTGTGAGAAAAAAATGATGTTCGCTTGGCTGATAAGACATGGTTGAAAATACTATTGGCTGATTTGTTGTGAGAAAAAAATAATGTTCGTTGACTGAAAAAGTACGACTTATAAAACAAGTGAACATGACATTTGTGGGCTTCGTCGGCTCCGCTTATAGTGACAAAGTCAGAGCCAGTTTGAGCCCCTCAACACATACCCTTAGGATGAACCGAAGACCTATCAAACTGGCTCTAACAATATTTTTCTCTAATTAAATTACATACCCACTTAGGAGAAAGGTTTCTTAATCTTCATAAAACACTTCTTCTGAATTGAAGAGATTAAGCTGCAGTACTAGACAGGGCGCGGTAGATCGCACGCACATGACCGCGGCCCGCTGTCGCCTGGCTCTCCTAAATTAACTAGTGTCACCTGCCGCAGCCAAACGATCGCGCACCACGGCCACGGCCACGGCCACGCCCACACGGCCGGCCGGTCAGGTTCGACCTCCGCCCCGGCCGCGCGCGAGCGGCGGACACGCACGAGCTTGCCATCCCAGCCAGGATCACACACCGGGGCCGGGGGCTACGTGACCCAACACGGGACCGGCATAAGAGTCTGTCTTCTACGACATGAATTTTTTTTACATCATAGGATTAAGCCTCCATCTTTCTTCTACCTCTAGTTTTCAGCATTCTTCTTTTATCTTCAAACAATCACAAATCACATGATCATAGATCCACAGATTACAGATCACAGAAAATAATTCTTTTTTTATGGAAGGACAAATCACAGATCCGTCGCCGTCGCCGCCGCCGCCACCACCGCCACTGCCATGGCCGGCGTGGGCGCGGGCGCCGGGACGAGCTCGCCGGTCGCCGGCGCCGGCGCCGGTGATCACCGGTGAGAAAGAGAGAGGAAGAGACATATAAAAAAATCTATATATTTTTTTGTGCTAAAACACACTGTATGTTATATAACATTTCTGAAAAGAAAATGCGGACGGAAAAGGGGACGGGGGCGAGTAGGGAGATAGATGTCTTGTCACGTCAGGTTAGCGTGCGGGCATGCATGCGGATCGTACCCTGGTGGACGAGACCAATCCAAATCATGGGTGCAAAAAAAACACTATATTCACTCCGGTACTTCCGTAAATTTAACTAAATTTATAAAAATAATATTTTTTAGATATTTTTTATTAAAAAATAATTCATAATAATTATCATACCTTATGTTAAAATGGAGAATGGTTGATTTCTTGAGAAGCAAAAAAGACATTTTTCTTGGTAATAAGGAGGGAGTACTACTCCAACCGATTCTCTTTTTCTCGCGTCGCTGGCTACATGCGTCACGCCTGAGCTTTTATTTGTCGACGACTTCATCAGAAAAGAAAAGGTGTTGGAGTGACGGGCATGAGCATTCGGGCGACATGGAAAACACGTTTGACTTGTACACGACGCGACGTAGTAGAGGAGGAGGGGCGATATTCTCCGCCACGCTTTTAACCTTTTACTTCCAACCGCCGGTCGCAAACTCGCAAGTCGCAATGCAGTGATTCTCGGTGAGAGCGAGGCCGGCGCGCACACGTACTGCTACTGCAGGGTATAGTAGGAGTACTACGCGCGCGGCTCCACCACCCACGTGCTACGGCATCGTTCCGTGCACCTGCGCCCTAGTACATTTCATGAAGAGATTATTGTTCGATGGCCATGTTGAGGTTTCATACAAGGACAAGCTAAGTCTACTTGCTTGGCTACCTATGTTAAAGATTTGATGAAAAGCAAATTTTGCTAAAATTCAGAGAGACAATATTTACATCATCGAGTATTGGACATGCTAACCGTGAGACATTGACAATTTTAGTAGCAAACCTTTGTCAAAATATTGGTTTACCCTAGTATTGACAATTAAATTTTAGCCATCAATCAATTGGGCGCCATGTCTTTCAAAAGTAACACATAAAAAAACAGGACAAATGATAAACATACATTTCATACAATATACTAAGTTTTTTTTGTTTGGATTAGGGTTTTGAGTATCACTAATTTCATCCCACATCATTTTTTACAACACATCCCACATCATATTAAAAAAATGTTGG